GAGAACGAACCAGGGGCTGTCTATTCCTTCAAGCACCCACACGGGAATTAACACACGCCCCTGCACAAAGTAGGGGCTCAAGGACGATTGAGGCTGCAACAAAGGGATGGTGTGTGTGGGGTGAAGGCGGGCGCGTGGAGTTTGGGTAGATTGGATTTGACAGATGGGTGGATGGGTAAATGGATGGATGGATGGATGGATGAATGGATGGATAGATGTATGTATGTATGGACTAGTGGGTGGTTGGATGGGTGAATGAGTGAATGGGTGGGTGGATGGATGGATGGATGGGTGGGTCGGTGGATGGGTGGATGGATGAATGGGGTGGGTGGATTGAGTGGACGAATGGATGGCCAGGTAGCTGGTTAGATGGTGGAGGAATGTGACTGAATGGAAGGATGGTGATTCACTGGGGGTGGGGGAATTCGGTGGTAGAGGAGCTTCTGGGCACATTTACGAGAGGCTGAGTAGATGGCAGGTTGGTGTTCTGTTAAGTGCATTCATCCTGTCAATGGCTCCTCAACAATGGGATTGGCCTCCATGTCTCAGCTGGTTGGGGCAGAGCTCTCCCAACTGGTTCCCAGGCTGCTGCCACGTGGTTGAAGCCCTGGAGGGGCTCCAAGGCACAGGGAGGGGACTGAGGTGGAGATGCGGGTGTGCAGTGAGCTTTGGTGGGGCCCTGAGCCTTCCGTGCCTTCCACTCTCCTGATCTCTCATCCTCCAACTCACTCAATATCACCTCGCCTGCCCCGCAGCCTAGAGGGATCACCACCCTCACTGTATACAGGAAGAAATGGCTCAGAGTGGGCAGGGACTTCCAGCAGTTATGGCGTGAGTTCACAGTGCCACGCCCTGCTTCAGGCCCAGCTCAAGATAAGGTCACATCTAACAGAGCAGCTCCATTACAACCTAAGCAGGACTCATGTTTCCTCCCCATGTTCTAATCAAGGGGGTAGAAGGGTCAAGCCTTAGGGAGGGGGGCAGCATTGCACAGGGTCAGGTACCCGAGGTCCTTCTCCCTCGCTGCTCCTGTGTTGCTTCTTCATGGTCCAAAATGACTGCTGGAGCACTGGCCATCATGCCCACACACCAGCCAGACACGTTCTTTCTTGGAAATGGCCCATCACTGCTTTATTTTTGTTTTGTTTGGTCTCGCCCTGTTGCCAGGCTGGAGTACAGTGGCACGATCGTGGTTCACTGCAGCCTCAACCTCCAGGCTCAAATGGTTCTCACACCTCAGGCCCCCAAGTAGCTGGGACTGCAGGTGTGCACTACAGCCAGCTAACGTTACTTGGTAAAGACAGGGTCTCGCAAGTCTACCAGTCTGGTCTCAAACTCCTGGCCTCAAGTGATCCTCCTACCTCAGTCTTCCAAAGTGCTGACAGTCATGAGCCACACCTGGCCACTGCTATGGAGACCAGGAAATGTATTTTCTTTTATGGGTGGCACTTAAGTATGAAGATTCCCTTACGGAGAAAGGAGAGTTTGTACTAGAAACCACAAAAGATGAAATTCAGGCAAAATTTTGAAATTTCCAGTTATCAGCCCCCCACCCAATATACTCTGAGGAACATCAAAAGATATCCTGGGCCAGGCAGGGTGGCTCATGCCTGTAATCCCAACACTTTGGAGGCCGTGGCGGATAGATCACAGGGTCAGGAGTTCGAGACTAGCCTGGCCCACATGGTGAAACCCCATCTGTGCTAAAAATACAAAAAATTAAGTCAGGCATGGTGGTAGGCACCTGTAATTCTAGCTACTCTGGAGGCTGAGGCCGGAGAATCCCTTGAACCTGGGAGGCAGAGGTTGCAGTGAGCCGAGACCGTGCCACTGCACTCCAGCCTGGGGAACATGGCGAGAGTCCATCTCAAAAACAAAAGTAATTCTGGAAAAACTTATGATTTTCTCCAAGCTTTTGCCCGCATATGTAAAGAACTTTTACAAAATAAAAAAAGATACCATAGGAAAGTTGAGTCCCTCCTGGATACACTGGGTGACACACATGGCCCCTGCCCTCTCAGAACTAGTGGGGGATAGAAATCAAATATAGCCCAGTCCCGGGAACCCATGAACAGTTTCACAAACTCCAGTGAGGCCAGCCTGGGGGAATCCGTGGTATTCCAGGCAAGTACAAAGACCCTAACGTGGGAAGGAACCAGTTGTTGGGGACCCACGGGGTTCTATGGTCTGCAGGGCTGTCCCCAGGCCTGGGTCTTACCCCTATGGTTGCTTGTGTGCTGGCCCTGCCCAGGCTCTGGGCGCCTCTCAGGTGAGGCTGAAAAAGGCCTGGTTTCCTGGAAACCACACGGCAACTCCACATGTGGAAGACTGTCCTTGCCCTGAGTGTGGTGGTGCCCCTCTAGTCCCAGCTACTTGGAGGCTGAGGCAGGAGGATCACTTGAGCCCAGGAGGTCAAGGCTACAGTGGGCCATGATCTCTCCACTGCACTCCAGTCAGGATGACAGAGCAAGACCCTCTTTCAAAAAGCCATAACTGCTATCTAAGTCCTGGCTTTCTCCTGATCCTGCGCTCCCTGGGACAAAGGAGGGCCCCACAGGCTGCCCGCAGCAACTGCACAGCAGCACCTCCCACATCAGTGCGGAACCTGATGTTCAGATCAAGACGGCAAGTCCCAGATCAAGACTGGCCCAGAACAGGGTTGCCCAAGGTCACACAACAAAGGATGGGTGGGGGCCTGAGCTCTTGGCTGCGTCTCAAGCTTCTCCAACGCCAGCTTAGCCTCCACCTGACAAGACGGACTCAGCCAGGATGGGATTAGTGTCATGCCTGGAATTTTCCAGGCCTGAAGCGGTTTCCTGGAGACAAGTACCTGTGGTGAGTCCTTGACCTCCTTGGACAAGATTAGGGTGTCATCTAAGAGGCCCCCAACCAGCGAAAGAGAAAAACAGCCTCCAAGCAGCAGAGCGTGCCCCTTGGGTGCCCTCTTGTGTCTACTCTGAGAACTTTGGGGACTTAGGAGAATCCCCAGGGAGCGACCCCCAATCCCACTATCTAGGGAGACTCTCCCTGGTCCAGACTCAGGAGGGAAGCCTCAGAGGCCTGTGTCTGACAAGAGAGTTGGGACAGATTTAGTGGCCCAGAACAGACAGTACCCCTGAAGCTAATAGCCCAGGGATGAGCAGGGCTAAGAACTGACCAAGCAAGAGGGACTCAGGGGTGGGGGCTCCTGGAGGGCCCACTCCAGGAGAGGAGAATGTGAGGGTTTGTTTGCACTGAAAACCCCTCCTAGGACAGAGAAACAGCAGCTCAGCTGCGCCCCAGGAGGTGACTGGGCCAGCCTCTCATAGCATCCCTTTGAGCTCTGCAGTGTGTGCAAAGAAAACATGCGGTGAGCACCAGGGCATTCCTGAGTTTATTTGGGGCATACCCAGGCGAAAGCCCTGCACCTAAAAGAAGGTGTTGGGCCTCTTGGTGGTGAAGCGTGGCTT